TATCATGACATGTCAGGTGGCACTTCAAGGAGGAGGCACACCTTTTGGGAGAACTTGTGCTGTTGTGGCTGGCAATGCTTAACTTCATTTCTTCAAGGATGGCAGACAACAAGCCCAAAGTTCTAGCCATTGTGACACCTGCCACAGGGACCCTGGGTACCTATTAAGGATGTTCTGAACAGGAATTTGTCTTTTGCTAGTGCAGCTTCCAGGCTGTTAGAGATCTCACCAACCTCATGCCCCACAAATATGGAGGTAGAAATGGGGGAGATATGACCCAGAGCGTTTCACAGGGAGATACTTGGCATAAATCTGAGATTCAGCTCAAAGGTAGGTACTGTTGAAGAAAGTGTTTGGCAAGGGGGAGATAAGGTTGCCCCAATCTTTTTCTTCCCATGTTTCAAGAGCATTGAAGCAAGAAAGGAAAGGGCAAAATAGAGGAACAGGGGAGGACTAAACCCATGCAGTGCCTCAATCCAGCAAAGCCCAATCCCGTGCTCATCTCTAAGCAGGGGAACAGTCCTGATGGCTACTCATCTGTTTAAAATCATACCTGGATCTGACAGCTTCACCAGGTTGGGGCCAGTGTGCTTGACAGACCAAAAGAGATGATCTCCCATGAGCAAACCCCTAGAAAGGGTTAGCAGACGTCACAGAGGAGTTTCTAACACTTGGAAAGATGAACAGCCAGATATTAGAGAAGAAAATAGGAAATCAGAGAATAAAGAGAATCAAGAGTTACCAGAAAAACACCACCTGTAGGCAAATACTCTAGACCCTGGTAGAATGACCATTGTCCGATCTACAGTATTTTTTCTCTCCATTGCCTGGCATGTCATAATATTGTGTCTTTGTGTGAAATCACATCCCCTTTCAGAGGTGAGACTGTTTTCTGAAGAACAAATGCCCACTCGTGATGTGCTCACCACAGGGATGTTAAGCCAAGAGGTATGAAAGCAAACAAGATTAGACCTGTAAGTCTGGGGCATCTTTCCCAGGAAAGGCTAGATCATTTATGCCAATCTGTCATCCTCTCAAACTGCACTCATCCATCTTCCCTTCAAAGATGAAGAAGTGGCAACATCTCTAACTGGGGACGTCTTATGTGGCCAGAATTTCAAACAAAATCCTAATTGAACAACAATGACAACAGAACAGGGAGATCAATGGCAATGTCAATATACATTATCAAAGGGACTGCTGTGAACCATCTTGACATACTCTGAGTGGCTGCGTTGCATCCTGTACAGCATTACAAAAACAAACAGAAGAAAAAAAAAAAAGAAAAAAAAAGAACAAACCACCCATTTTTACGTTCTTTAATTTGCATTTTCTGCATGAAATAAGACCTTGATCCTTGTCTTTTTTCACAAAAGCAGATTCTGCTTTAACTAATGTAAAAAAAAAAAAAAAAAAAAAAAAAAAAGGGAAAGAAAATAATGTTTCTATAGCAAAGTGATTTAGATGTAGAATTTTTTTTGTAAAAAAAAACGGGGGGAGGAAAAAAAAGGGAAAAAACAACAAAGAAATAAAATAAAATGACCTAAAGAGCCATCTTTGTCTACTCTAGAGGTGGGAAGGTGTGATTGGTGGGTGGCAGTCTCTGCTCACATCGCCGTCCTGTGCCAGATGGAGAGGAGCTAAAGCCCATTCTGTGCCATGGGATGGCTCCCAGGGCAAGCGTGCTCACCAATTACAGCTGGGTGCTTTCAAAAACTGTCTCCTTCCATCTTCTTGTAAGTAGAGTGGGCAGGAGGGCAGGGGGAAGGTTGGGCAAGGACAAGGGGAGTTTCCTTGCCTTCATTCTGGGGTTTAGTTTGGGGTATTTCTGTTCCTGCAGTGACAGTTTTTGAAAGGCGATGATGAACAAAAGTAAAAACAAACTTGAAAATAGTTTACAGTTTTGTACAAACCATTATAAATACTAACAACAACTGTTTTTTAAAATGATCCATACCAGTACCAAAATAATGTCATGTGTACATTACTTTATTCTTTCTTTCTTTCTTTCTTTCTTTCTTTCTTTCTTTCTTTCTTTCTTTCTTTCTTTCTTTCTTTCTTTCTTTCTTTCTTTCTCTCTTTCTTTCTCTCTTTCTTTCTCTCTTTCTTTCTCTCTTTCTCTCTTTCTTCCTTCCTTCCTTCCTTCCTTCCT